GGTGCCCCACCTCCATGCCGTGGAGAAGGCGCGACAGTCGCTCGCGCGTCGCGCGACAGCGCGCGCCACTCGCGCGACGTTCCGCGCCTGGTGGGCTCGCTTTGGGGGGCGGCTCGCTCTCGCTCTTTATCGGACGGAACGTCAAGGGGGGAGCGTGTCTTTTGGAGCTGCGAGACGAGCGTGTGGAGCTCGTGTGCGGAAGCGGACAACACAGGACCAGGTGCAGCGGTCGCGACACGTGGGTGGCGAAAGATGGAGGGGGATGGTCGAAGATGGTCTAAGGGTGTAAGCGTCCATGTGTTGGAGAATGTTTTTTTGGACCAATTCAGCTGCAATTCATATGGTCGTAGGTGCTTTACACGAGCGGGTTGCCCCAAAACATTGACAGGCATCGAAGTTCCCACCTCTCGATGATGTGTTGTGGTGAGGCTTTAGCTGTAAGAAGCTCACACTGGGCATGAAAACCAAAGAAACAATCACTCGAAACACCTCCCAACCATTGGTCCCGAACCATATGACCCGAAGCAACTGAGTCCATTTCACACGGACTTTGATGAGCGGCGGATGTGGTGCTTGCAGATCTTGCACCTGTGGATGGAGAAGTTGTGGAAGCACACCACCTCATAGATTGCATTTTTTTACATTGGTTGGTTGGTGAATACACCAATTCGTGTACAACGTATATTATGGTATATTATGGTATATACTAGGATACCCCCTCGATTACTCCCAAAGGGACATCATTGCACCACCAACAGAAGCATCTTCCGGATGGTGGCCGACCTTCACTAACGCTGTCAGGTGAAGAAGGGCCAGAAACGCTATTCCATCTTCGGCTGGTGGCTGGCCGCTGGGGTTTGGATCGTTAGGGGCCCGGCTCTGGTCTTGAAGTGTTGGAGTTCTACATGAACTCTGGCAGACTCCAAACCCCTGGGTCAATGGAGTCAGGCGGAAGACGACACAGGTCCATGGGTCCGGAGTGGTCGCTGCGGTCCATCGAACGACCAAGTCGCAGCGGGCCGAAGGACGTGCAGACCATCGTTGAGCGTGGGCAGATTCACAGGCCCCCAAAATCAACCGTGGTCCTTTTGCGGAACCAGAAGTCGAGAGGCCATCGCTACTATAGTAGCAAGAAGTCTGGTGGTCCTCCCTTTCGGGCTGAGGCTGTTTCGGCCAAGCAAAAACGTTCAGCGCTGGTACCGAAGGCCACACGGTCGATGAGGCCTACCCGAACCAACATTCCACTCTTCCAGCACTGGACAGGTTTGGTGAAAGAGACAAAGGAAGGTGCGGTACTTTTCTGCATCTTTCTGTCAAACATCTGACTAAGACCATCTAAGACCCTTCAGACTGCTGGCTTCTCTCTATGATCCTCTATATATCTCTGAAAAAGGAAAGCGTCACGGGCACCTCAGTCCCCAAACAGGTCGAAGACGCGCCGAAGCGCCCCGCAGCACTAAAGCGCCCCGCGGCGATGAAGCGCCCCGCGGCGGCGGCGAAGAGGCCGAAGAAGGGACGGTGACGGTGGCGGACGAAAAAGGGCGGTGCGAAAACTCGCGTTTTCGCCGCGTGAGGATTGGACGAGAAGAGGAACTTCCAGAATTCCGTGGCTTTTCAATCATTTGGAATCGTTGGGTTTAGTGATGAATCCTGATTTTGGGGACTCTGATTTTTGGGATCTCTGGATATGAGGAGGTTGAATGATTTGGGGACAAGGGAATATTGCTGGCGCTGACTATAGCCATTGGCTGTTGTCTCGTCGGACTTGGAGCTGAGCTGAAGACGATTCAAAAAGAGAGTTCATGGAAGGTCCATTCAACTGGTCAAGAACGTGCTGAAGGAACGAGCCCGTCAATCTGTCAAAGTCAGTCAAACAGGCCACCACTGAATGAATGGCACATTCCTTGACTCGAAAGATGCTGGGTGTCTGTTTTCCAGTAGTGATCCTTTCTCCATTTACTCTCAAACATGCAAGCCATTGACCATAGCTTTCCTTGACCCTTTTTCTGAAAAGTCCTCTATCCATCCCAAAACAGCATGGGACCATGGATTCCAAAGGTACACGGAAGAACGACCACCCACCTCGGCCATGTTGCATGGCCCGGACGGCCGCCGCGGCGGACGCGGCGGCGGCGGCGCGGCGGCGGTGGCTGCGGCACTTGGAATCCTCGACGCCCACGGAGCTTGTGGAGGCGGTGAGAGAGGAGCTCCGCGGGTCGGTGCGGGTGTTCCTTTTGGGGGATTGAAGATGAACGAGGAACAAGAAGCTACTAGTAGCATCCAGTAGCTAATTTGCTACCTAGTAGCGATGGCCTCCACCTAGAAACGTCCTTGCTACTAGTAACAAGATGAAATTGTATAATAATTTGGGTACGGACTAGCATTCCGTGCATGTCGGCATCCCCTTTTGGTCACACCACCAAGAATTGTTACTCCAAGTGGGGATCATCCGCAATGATAATGCCCATGTATACAAACATAGGTCCAGCGGAGGATGCGCTTTGGACAGTGACGAGTTCTCTACATGACCTTGTGGAACCTCGAACCAGGGGTGTAAGTTTACCGAACATTCGCCAGATTCATGTCGAGGACAAAGCAATGGCCGACCTTGATTCACCACATCAAACATCAAACATCCCAAATGAATTACAGCTACACCTGTCAACACCTCCCCACCCAAAAAACAAAGGACTCTGTTTGTGTCATACATACCCCTTTCCCACGTCACGCCGTACGCGGGTTTCCCACGCGTGCTGCGGAGCGCGGAGGAGCTCCGACAGGGACGCCTCGAGGGTTGGCGGAACTCCTTGTGGACGCCTCTGTTGGAGCGTTGCGTGGGGACCGAACCGCACTCCACATGGAACCGTTACGCGCTGGACGCATCCCACGGCTGGGCGAAGGCTGCAGGCTACGTCTAAGACGGAGATGGCAGAGAGTGGGGGGAGGAGCATTTGGCCAAGAGGAGCTATGCCCAGATGTGCCGACATTGTTTGAAAAGATGTGGTCCGTTTGTGAAAAAGGGGGGAATGCAAGCTACAAAGACTACTGTTCGCTCTGTTGGTGGGTTTTGCTTACCATATAATAGAGATGCTCAAAGAAACCTTTTCTATCTTTGTGGTCACAGTTGGTCAATAGAGCGGTGGCACCTTGTAGAGGAAGAAGGTCCTTTAGTCCTCCGTGAGTCACAAGGATTGTCCTTGACTACATTGATATAGCCTTTGTTCCGAAAGCGAAAACCTGTGAAAGCCCCCACCCTTCCAGAATCTCTACCAGATGCTGTTTCCCCAGTCCTTGGCATAGTCCACGTCCCCAGTCCTTCTTTCGAGTCCACGCCGTTCCCCGGCGCCACGCCGCGTGCGTTGGCGCATCTCCCGACTCAGAGCTGCTGGCGTTGGCGCGGCAACATGGCGCCATCCCCAGCAGCTACATGCTGAACCTCGCGCTGCGCGCAGCGGCACTAGGCACCGGTGTGCGGGTTGGGTGCCGCAACCCGTCGGGTGTGCCACAACCAGCGACATGGTTCCTGAGGCGTAGCGATGTTTGTAGAACGGTACCTTGTGGTAGGTGGGTGCTTTCCCTTTCTTGATGCTATTGTGATCGTTACACTTGTTATGGCTTGGTTCAGTTAAAGTCTGTCAAAGGTGCGGTGGCAAGCCTTTGGGTTTGTAAGAAGGGCTGGTTGGAAAGAACCTACCCTTCCAATAGTTGGGGAATCTCAGACACCTCAGACACCTCAGACAGCTGCCTGGCTGCCTGGCGGTGCTGAAGCTGGTGCATCACTTGATTCGTTGGATCAGATATTCCGAATTTGCTTGATCAGAAGTAGAATAAGACCTTCTGGAGTGTTTTGGGTTCCGAAGTTGGTTCAGTGTGTGGAGGCTGGTTCAGGCAGCGATGTCTTTGCACGTAAACAACTTCCATACAGTCCCTCGCAGAACAATGAATGCCATTTGGGATGGTCCGAGCCACTCCCTTTGTTTTGAGCATACAGGTTCTAGTCAGAGACATGCATGCTGATGTCCTGCTGACAGTTGTCCTTTTTTCCAGGATTCTCAGTATTTACGCCTCAGGTGGGGGCAGGGTCCAAACGAACCTCAGTCCAAATCGCAAAGCTACCACCGGCTGCACACGCGCAAGGAGCTGCATGGCAAGTGGCGGTCGACATGTTGGCGGAGGCATGAGAGCGCAGCAAGAGTGTGTTGAAAGGGCTGTGTATCCTGACCGTACATTGAACCCTGAAACCACAGGTCAGTTTGCCATAATGCATGGAGTGTCCTGACGTATACTTAAGCCTTCCATCTCTCGAGTTCACCACGACCACCTTGAGGGGCACTTGGGAGCGTTTGAGCATCGGGTCCTTCGCAGTCATCCCCGCGAGCTGCGATGAGTCGGTTCAGTCGGTCAGTTTGCCAATCGGTTCAGTCGATGCATTCGCCGTGTGGAGTCATGTGCACAGACCGGACTCACACGACTCACCACACGACTCGGTCACGACTCAGCTCTTTTGCTGCAGCTAAACCCTGATTACGGCATGCATAATCCCGTGTGAACGACGAGGGGATGAAATGTGAAGCGCGAATGTGAAAAGAATCCCTTGAAAATCACTTCAGTTGTTCCATGTGGACCTGATTTGACTGCAGAGTTTGTTGTCCCGCCAGGGCCAAAACATATCCCACAAGAACTTGAGCAAGATAGCATGACACGCTCTGAAATCAGACTCTCCACTATGGAGTCGTACACTACTCGTGACCGTCCTCAGGTGTATTGTGGGACCCTCAGCAGCCTTAGCGCTTTTGGTTTACAAGGGATTGCTATAGTAATGCTTAACTTATGAATCAGGTTAATCTCTTCCTGCAGGGCTGTCACAGTCTGTTACGGTCTGTTCGTGAAAATTGAAGGACAGGAGCTGAAACCTCTGCAGCTCTCGGCTCTTCGTTGATGCTCTCTGCTCGGAAAGGCCATGGGCCATCACCATCCACTGGGACGGACATTGATCTCCCATGTGCCGTAAGACTTGGTGCACCAGCCTGGTAGGACCCCAGCAAGCTACGTGGATCACCTGCAGGTCACCATGTTTCGATGTTTTTTTTGGGGGGGAAGAATGGGGGGACACCCGGTGTTGAGCTCGGTGACTGGATGGATGTTCGGCAAGAAGTCGAGCTCGGTTCCAGTCGGCCGGAGTGAACACGATGGAGCAGTGGGGGGCTGCTGCATCCAGAGTGGGGCGCCCCACCGATCCGACCTGTGCGTGGGTCAACACCTGGGAGACTGGTGTCCATCTTGTGGAGTTTTGGTTGGGAACCGGGTGGTCAGTGTGGTCCCACAACTAAGGCGTTTGCTTGTTAGCCCAAACTGGAGCTGCGGTCTCGGCATCCGATCCACCAGCGAAGGCTGAAAAGCCTCGAGAAAGACAGGGGGGCCGTTCATGACAGGGCCCACATGAACGGACCTTGGGCCCTGAACGAGTCCCATCCCAACTCCGTTTCAGATCGAAGTTCCGCGGTGGAGTCCACCGTGTTGGACCCTGAAGGGTCATGTCATAGATAGCGGCGTCCAAACGAAAGGATCAGGAAAAACGCCGAAGATGGAAAGCTCCAAAAAGTCCTCCAAGTGCCAAGTAGTGGATGAGAGGAGAGGTTCTTTTCTCCCTTTCCAGCCCTCGCTGGCCCGGGCGGTTTCGGACCTCCGGCGTCACAACCTTTGCGCGAAACTTACTGGATCGTTTGATGATTGGCGTCATGGAGGGAAGGGCAGACATCTACCCATGTCACAAGCCCCACAAAAACCATCCATGATGTCCTTCCCATTGGCATGTAAATATAGGGACAGATTGTAGCTATGCACTCCTTGGGAATCCTGGTTCCATGAGAGTCCATCGACCTCCACGATCGTTGACAGCGTGGAAAGACGACACTCTGTCAAGCAGACTTAAGTGTGAGTGCTGTCATATTTGTTACTTTGTTTGATGTGTTGCAATCCATGGGTGACACAGCGACAGCAGCACCAAGGTCGGCAACTTTGCTCTCATGTATGTGCTCTCGAGTGCGGAAGTTTTTGCCGGGTTTGATCGAGGGTTCTTGCTTCGCTCCGTTTGCCTCAACCTGGAAGGATGTTGCAAAAGTGTTGCGAAGATGAGGGTTGTGTAGAATGGACCATTCACACGGCCACGCAGCGTCCAAGTTGGTCTAACTACATGCAGCTACTGGCAGTGACGGGTACTGTTTGTGAGCAGCTTTCACTTCGACAGTGGGACACCTCCATGCGCGCGCTGTTCGCTAGCCACGACGTAGGACAGGCAGCAAGGCAGCGCGGCAGATAGCTCCGCGGTGTAGATCGAGCAGGACGGCAGACAGGGCCTTCTGCCAGGCCACCTTCGCCCCCGGGCGCCATGCAGCACGCTCCCAAGAGGCCAATGTGATCTCCTTCAACACCACTGCAAAGGCCAGGCCGAAGGAGGTGGTCCATCACTGGTATTTCTTGGGGTGTAAGGGTGTTAAAGGAAGACGACACTGGTTCAGTTGTTGGTTGAACGGTCTATTTCTGGTCCTGCTCTATGGAGTCGAACTGGGGCCTCCCTATATCCCAACATTCTACGCCCATGTGTAAGCTCTGGCGTCTTGGAGTTTGTGCCGCTTTGTGGGATTCCAGCAGTTCTTTAGTAAAATCCTGCTCCACGCTGCCATGGGGACGGCCTTCAAGTCTCGGGCTTGGAAGACCCAAGTGAGCCACTCATGACAGCGACCCATTTCGGAAGGCAATGATGGGAAATAGAGGCAACTCCCTCTTTTTCACCCGAGGGACCGGTGGATTTTCCTCTTGGTTTTGGGTGACGTCCAAACCAAACCATCAAGCGCCAAAACCAAAAAAAACTCAAATTTCAAGTCATGTGTGAAGCTGTTTGATGTGTGTTGGTCGCACTGTGTTTACCTCCATTGGTTTTTGTTTCTGTTTGACATCAATGCGCTGTTTCCAAACAAATTGCGACTCGTGGTTGGATTTGGAAAGTGCTAAATGCTTTCGTCATGTCCTCCCAAAACACCCGTCCTTCAAGGCCTTGGCCACTGCCAAGCAATGGGCCCAATGCTTGGCTCTGCTAGGCACGAAACGTTAAAAAACTGTCAGTTCAGCCCAGTGATTGGACGGTTGTTGGGAAGGTGTTTGATCCATACCAGGACAATTAAAGGTTTTTTTTCCGGACTCAAGTTGCCTTTGGTGTTGTGATATGGATTTGGAAGCAGTTGCATGCCGTTTTGGGGAACCCTCTATTGGGGATGGTGGTTAATACCCAAAGACATTTGTTCACCACTTATGGAAGCAGGTTCAGAAGTATGGGAGGTAACTCCCATCAACAAGTAGGAGGGGTCCGCCAGTTTTGCAACATGATGCAATATGGTTCACCTGACTTCAAAGGAAGGAACAAAAGAGTCTAATTGTATAAGGGTCTAGATTCGTCCATAGATTCCATGCGCAAGTTAAACCCAAGACATCCATCTTCACCGCAACCTGGCTATTGCTCCGAGAATAATCCCCAGAAAGCCGCAGATTCGTTTTTGATCCTTCTACCTGTGGGTTTGGATGGTAGCCTGATGTTTCGCCATCCCAGCAAAGCTTCATTGCTGCCCCAAAAATACGACGTACATCCCATATCTTTTTGATTCCTTGCTCAGGCGCCCAGCGAGACGCGCAGATTCCGATGGACATCGTCTCCTTCAATACTCTTCAACACGCCTTGGCAGGTCACCTGATGTCGTCGCGGCGTTGTTTCGGGGTTGTCTTCACTGTGGCACTGGTGATCCTTCCAAGTGCCCCCACACACAGGGTGATCCTTCCAAGTCTAAGTGCTCAAAGAGCAGGGGCACCTGCCTGCGTCTTGTTCCGGTGCTTTTGGAAGGGACCATGGCTTGGAAGAATGCCACAAAACTGGAAGATCCCAAACAGGGGATGGCCTTCGGTGCTCTTCACCGAAAACGCTCGGCGCTCTTCGGATCCTCGGTCTACGGACTCGGCGGGTGGTCGGGGCTTGGGACGTCTCGAGACGAACCGTTCGTTCCGGAGCTCACCTCTCAAGACGCCGCGTGGCGTGTGACTTCTCCTAATAAGGCGCCCTAGCTCAATTTCTGGCAGTCCCACAACCCGTTCCACTGCTTGCTCCGGATTCACTACAGGCGGTAGCTGTTGGCAGCTGGCCTTGTCCTCGCTCCACGCCGCGCAACGGTGCCAGCTTCGCTGCGACGACGTGCCTCGGGCCTTCACTGCGACGGGCTTGTTCTTCTCCAAAGCTGGAAGAGGTTCGTGAAACATCATGAAACACGACTCGATCCAAAGACCTCGATTTGCTCACATCATCCATCATCACTCTCTTCATCTCTCTTCCATTATATCCTCTGAGTCTGAGGCCAGCTACAGTGCCACCATCGTGGCCTGCGGCCGTTCCAGCCGTTTGTGGCATGTGCTGCAGTTAGCGCGGCAATCGCGGGAGCTCTCAAGCAACTTGGATATCCAACGGGCAGAGGAGTACTGGAGTTTCACGTGTTTGTTTCAGGTTGGTTCCGAATCTGCAGGTGAAACCTGGAAGAAGCAGCCGACAGAAGCCTGTCATAGGCGAATTGGTCCTGTCACAGCGTTCTTCGTTGTATCCCAAGTCAGTTTTTTCACACTTCGAACTTGGATTTTCAGTTAACGCAATTGTCTCGTTGGGA